TAAAAATGGGGGTCGCGCTATTCTTCAAAATTTATTTTTAAAAGGGGGGTTTTTTTTTTTTTTTTTTTTTTTTTTTTTTTTTTTTTTTGGTTCTATGGATGATTTACCTGGATATTTTCCATAGATTTTAATTTTTTTTATAATTGCCTTCCAATTAGAGGATGGCTTGTTGGATGTTTTGTTGTTGTTGAATTTAAGCTAAAACGATTCAATAATATATTAGATTAATAAAATGATAGATTGATGTTGTTGTTGTTGGATGTGTTAAAATTTTTCGATTATATAATTATTATTGTTGTTGTTGTCGATGTAGGTGTGTTGTGTTTCAATGGCTTTCGTTTATTTATTTATTTTTTTGATGTCATTGGTTGGTGATGGTGAGTTGATGCTATTTTTTTGTTATTTGTTTAAAATCGAATTAATTTTTTTAAAAATTCATTCTTGAATAAATGATGGTGATATTTATGTGTGTGTGTGAGTGAGTGAAATGGGCTTTTTTTCTTCACATCATTTTTGAATCGTTTAATTGGATGTTTCACCAGCAGCACCATCACTTCCGTTACCAGAATTATTGGCACCAACATTATCGCCATTATCTTGATTATCATCATTGCCCGATTGTTGTTGATCTCCCCAGTTTCCACTTCCATTTCGTTGACCAAATTTTCCACCACGTCCACGTCCACCGCGGCCACGGAATCCACCACGTCGACGACCTTGAAAACCACCACCACCACCAAATCGACGTACATTACCACGTCGAAATCCGCCAGATTGTTGTTGATTGTTTTGTTCTTGTTGATCATCATCCAATTGGCCTTCTTGATTTTGTTGAACATCATTTTTGTTCTGTAAAAAGAGCTATGATTAATAAAAGAATTTTTAGATCTTTAATCAAAAACTGACTTCTTCACCGGCACTATCGCCGCCTTGATCCATCCTTGGACGGCGTGGTCTACGACGGAAAAAACGTTGAATGTATCGGCGTGGTCGACCACCACCACCACCACGTCTTGATTCAAATCCAGAATTTTGATTTTGTTCAAAATTTCCACCTTCTTGTTGTCCATCGTTTATTTGTTGCTGTTGTTGTTGTTGATTGTTGAAACCTCCACGAAAGAAACGTCGACGAAAGAATGGACGTCCTCGACCACCACGATAAGATCTTCCACCACCACCACCATCACTAAATTGTCCATCACGTGGTGGTCCACGACGAAAGCCACCACCACCACGTCGGAAATTTCCACGACCACGTGGTGAAAATTTTCGATCAGCTGCAAACGGTGAACCTTTTACCGGTGTACCATTCGGTCCGGTTACATTGGCTGCTTCATTTCCCTAAATAAGAAAAATGAATAAATCACAAATATTCAAGACGCCCAAAAACTCAAAATACAAACTTTTTCCCCTTCAACAATATCAAATTCAACAACTTCACCATCACCAACACTACGAACAGCTTTCCCAGGATTATTTCGTTTAATTGCCGATTGATGTACAAAAACATCTTCACCTTCTTTATCATTACGTGATATAAAACCATAACCATTTTTTACATTAAACCATTTTACTGTTCCAGTGATTCTAGTAGCTATTATATTATGCAAATCAGAAGAAACAGAAAAAAATCGAAAATTAATTTTCAAAATTATGCTATCAATATATTTTTTTTAGCAATCAAATCGATCAAACCAACAACACCTGAATCAGCATAAAACAAAAATCTATTATTTCGTTCGCCTAATGCACATTCATCATATAAATGTCGCGTTGGCAATTATAATCATCATTGGAAAAAAATGGGGGGAAGAAAAACTGTTGTTTTTTTTATTAATCCATCCATGCAATAAATTGTGATTATCAGTGGCAAAATTAAAAAAAAAAAAGTCAACCTACAAGTTTTTCATTTGGTTTCAATTTTCAAACTTTCAAAATGTATTCATACAACGATATGCGGAAGAATTTCGATAAAAAAAAACAAGAAAAAGAATATTCCTTGCAATATAACCGACACAAACAGAGAGAAAAAAGGGAAAAAACATATTCTAAATTTAGCATCAGAAATTCTCATAGCCTAGAAAAAAAAGTTTTTGCCATAAATACAATGTGTACATGTGCTTTTTTGGCTGGCTGGCTGGCTGACTGGTTTTGGTTCAAAACTTACCGATAATTTTTTTACTCTGATTTGAATCACCATTTTTATTACCATTATTATCGGCAACAATACCACCACCATTACTATTTGATGATTGTTGTGAATCATTCAATGATGAATTATTATTATCCAATTGATTTGAACTATCAACTTCAGCCATTTTTTCTCTGGTTAATTTATGAAAAAATGATGATGATTAGAAAAATTTATTTTCATTTTGATAAAACAAAAAACTAACCTGGATTTTATTATAAAAAGGTAGATTATATTAGAACAAAAGTGTGTGCAATATTTTTGTTTTTATCGATAAAATGTTGTTTTCGATCTGTTGTTGTTTTTTACTGGAAAGATTTCAAAAGATCTTTTAAAGTTGTTGTTATTTGTTATTTTTGTAAAAATCAAGATGGAAGAATTAGATGTTGTTGTTGTTGATGATAATGATTTTCATTTGATCAATACATTCAATCTTCTGATGTTATCCGTGGACTTTTTGTTTTTTAAAAAAATTAAAATTGATGTTATTTTAGATGTTAAAATTGTTGTTGTTGTTGTTGTTGATTATTCATCGATAGTATACGGTGTCCATAAATATATTCTTGTGGTCGAGATGTTTATTTTGGTCGGACACACACATTTACGGAATTTACAAAACAAACACACACACACACACTTGGTGCCAAAAGATCGATGGATTACAATTTTTTTATTGCTGGTTGTAATGATTTCTTGATGGATGATGGATAATAATCAAGAAATTCTCTTACACTCTCTCTCTCTCTCCCTCTCTCTTTACAGGATCGGTATCTTTCTGGCGCTTTTCCCCTCACTCAATTCATTCTTTTTTTCTTCCCATTCATTTTTTCTTTATTGTTATGCATACCACACCACACCACACACACATCATACATGGAAAAAAATAGTTCTCTTCCTGCTTCGATGGCTGCTACTGCTGCTGCCGCCACATGGTAGTAGCAATACCAGCAGTAGAATTGCGTTTTTTTTTTTGCCAAAAGAATCCTGAAAAAAAGTAGTGGTAAGTTTGTTTTTTTTTTTTGGCCATTTTTGTTTTTGGGCTGAATTGAATGTAAACGTAATTACGTAAAAAACTGCGCTTGCGCGTTTTTTTTTGGTAGCAGGTATTGGATACGCCCCTATACGATAATCGATTGTTGTGATAATTGCGGAACCACAAAAAAAATATGCCGGCAAACCCTTGTTTGTTTTCGCTATTTGAAACAACAGATGTCGTAAGTTGGTTTATTTTTTATTTTTTTTAAATTTTTTTATTCAATTTTTCTGGTTAACGTTCGAAACGGTAAATGATTTTTTAAATCGTTTAAATCCTTTTGATTTTCGTCGTTTTTGTTGTAAAATAAATCGTTTATGTTGTTTTTGTTTATTATCATATTTTTCAGCTGTTCTTTTATTTTTTAACGAAGATTTTTTACGCATACTTAATGCTTTTATCATATTTAATTCTCTTGTTTTAGCTGTTTGTTGAACACGTTGTATTAATTCGGGTGAAAAAAATCGTTCCTCTTCATTATCATCATTATTCGTGTTATGTAGCCGAGGATCATTGGCTTTGAAGAAGAATCCACCAAAATTGCTTGGTTTAAATTGTTTTTTGCTATGATCAAGATTTTTCAATGAATTTGATTCGGGAATTTTTATCTGAATTTTACCATCATAATCATCATCACTGGAATCATCATAACGATTCTTGTCTAAAAATTTCAATTTCGTAACTTTGATTGGTTTTTCTTCATATTCAATTTGATCAGCGATTTTATCGCCATCATTTTGTTCAAAAATTGATGATCCAAGTGTAAAATCTTCTGTTTGACCACCGAATAAATTCTTAAGATTTTGTCCAACTTCATAATAACAATCATTGTCGATCGTTGATGTTGTATTTGATTTTGATTTTTCCGAATTATTCGTTTCAATTTGTTTTTGAATCGCAATTTTTCTATCAATTTCATCCAAATCTATTGCGGGTAATTTTCGTTTTTTCAAATTTGTTTCAGTTTCAAATTTACTACATTCTTCTTTGGTCGGATCAAATCTTGGAACAAATAATGTTGTTGTTGTTGATTTTAAATTTGAACGAGATTTCCATGGTTGATTTAAATTTTTACCAATAACTTTTTCTAAAATGTTTAAATTTTTTTCTTTTTCCACTTCAATTTCGGATTTGATTTCGGTCGGTTGAATTTCATTATCATCATTATCATTATCATCTTCAATGAAACGTTGATCAATTTGAAAACGAGAATCATGTGCTAAACGTGATTTTAATTGTATCAATTTTGATGTTTTTCGTTCCGATAATGGTTTATCATTGAAAAATTTTTGTTCAAAATTCAATTCTTCTTCAATATCATCTTGTTCATCATCATCATTTTCATCGAATAATTTCAATTTATTTGAATCCATTTCATACAAAAATCACATGGAAAAAGTTTGAAAACAACAAAAAACAAAAATAAACATGCTCTTCAATTCAGCTGTTTGAACCACGTGACTAGCCGAATTTGTTGCCGGGAACTTTTTTTTCTCACCATTTAACATTCGTTTTTTTCCAGAAACTTCTCGCATTCTTTTCGTCAAAGGAAAAAAAATGATGATGATGTTTAATTTTGATTGAAACATTTATTAATTACAACAATAATGTTGGCAATGTTGGCAATCGACGATAATCGATGACAATAATCGATTATCGTCATCATCAAGATAAAAATTATGAGATAAAAGTAATTTCCCCACATCACCACCATCATTAGAAATTTTTTTTGACAACAAATTATCAAGGATATCAATCAATCAAAATGACCATCATCATCATCATCATATGACCAATTATCGATGTTTTTCTTTTCAAAAACAAAAAATCATTGAGAAATGCCCCAGTCATTCAAAAACAAATTTTTCAAGGAAAATCTTTTTCTGGTTTTTTTTTATCTAAATAGAAAAATCTTTTGAATGAATGCTAAATGTCATGCGTTGTTTGAATCTTTTTTTTTTGTTTCAATGTTACGTTGTTCGTCAGTTTTCCATCACTTTCTCTTTTCTTTTTTTTTGATGGAATTTTATTTGAAATTAATTTTTTTTTCAAAAATCAAATCTGGAAAATTCTGAGGGAAAATAAATGGTTAAATTTTATAAATTAATTTAATTCAAAAGATTTAATCAATTTTTTACTTTTTTTTTTGGTGAATGATTTAGCAAGAACATCATCGATCGAAAAACTTTTCGGATTTGTTTTTTTTTTCATTTCGTTCGTTTATACAAGCCAAAATTGTCATTCAATCATGCATGACAGGTTTATAATAACAAAATGATAATAAACAACAAGGTCAAACACACTTGTTTGCCAAACTTTTTTTGTTTCGATCTGGAATTTGTCTTTTCATCAATCTTTTGCTATGTTTGTCAATATGATTTTTGCATCATCATCATCAGCAGCAGCTGTTTTTTCTTCTTTGCAAACAATAAAAATCCACAGCTGATGTGTTGTTGGCCGATTATTATGATTTCGATTTCAATTGAATTGAAACAAAACAAAACAAAAAAATTGATAATTTTTTTCTTGGAAACGAAAAAAAGAAGATTATCATTCGAATTCGAACGACAAAAAAAAACGTTCGAACCAACTACTACCACTATTACTTAGTTACTAAATTGAATTAAATAGTAGTAGTAAAAGTTTTTTATCGATATTACAATGTTATTAGCCTCATTTTTTTTCTTTCCGTTGTAATAGTCGCTGTTGACTACATTTACATACACTGGATGATGATAATTTTCTTTTTTTTTCTTCATTTTCTCGATAAAAAGATTAAATTTCAAAAAAAAAACGAAGAAGAAAACGAAAGAGAAATCGGATTTTATTTTAGGTTCGCACAGAAAATCAAATTAATGTCAAAATTTTTATTCCGATTAATTTTCATCATCAAAAAGAAAAAAAATTTTGATTTAAAAAAAATCATGCATCACATGTGATAGTGGTAACAGTTTACTAACAAACCAAAAAAAAAAAAACCTGAATATACGTATTTAATGTATGGTTTATCACTTCAAAAATCAATGCTTCTACCAAAACGAATGTATTGATATGCGCAGTATCTTTTTCTGTCCTTTTATTTTTTCGAGTGTTTTGTTTTTTGTTTGGAGAGAAAATGCCCAAATACATACAAAAAAATTTCATTTCATTTTTCTTGCCCCAAAAAAAAAAACAAACAGACAAAACACAACGAAGAAGAAACAGGCTTTTGCAATATTTTTTTTTCTGTTGAAATCAAACGAGATAGCAAGAGAGAGAGAGAGAGAGAGAGAAACAAGCAAATCATTTTCAGTCATCATCCTGAAAGAAAGAAAGATTATCATCATAAACAAAGCCAGGGCAACAACAACAACAACGAAATCAAATATAAAAAAAATTGAAAAATTTTTCAACAAAATTTATCAAAGTGATTTTGTTTGTTTTTTTTAAATCAAAAAGAAAAGATTTCTTTATTCATTTTCTCTCCTTGTCTTTCTGTGTTTATTTTGGTGAGCGATGTAAATTTCGTGTTTTTTTCTCCAAAGAGAATCATTTTTGTTTTCAATATTTTGTTGATGTCGTTATTATTTTGTTTTTGACAAAAAAAAATCTTTTACATTCCATAGTTTTTTGATCCAAAAAACGAAAAGAATAGAAATTCTGCATATATGAATCATCACCAATGAGAATTCAAAAACATTCGATTTAACTGATTGACTGACCTGAAACGTTCGAATTCTCAAAACGTTCGAATTTAGTCATCATTAATTTTACCTGAATTACCGACGACCTATAATTCTGTTTTCGACAAATTTTTTTTCCAACATTTTAACTAAAATGATAAAGCAAATTTGACAAACAAAAAATAATTCTTCAAATCAAAAATCATCAATATTGATTCCAATTTTGTTTTTGTGTGTAAAAACCAAACCAAAGAGAAAGAGAGAATTTCAAATTCTCTTTTTTTTTTTGTTCATCAATTTGCCAACCCTTTCATTTAATTTCATACACACATCATTTTCATTCCCGAATTGGTGGGAAAATTAAAAAATTCATTCAAAATTGCTCAATTACCGAATCTACGTTTTCAGCTTGGTTTAGCTGATATATTTGATCTAAGTCAATCATTGGTGAATATGTGGAGTTCACCTAAACTTGATCATGCATCACATCTGGATCAATGTTTTGCCGAATTGATTGTTGAATGTCGTCAAGCGGGTACGTAGTAATACAACAACAACAAAAAAATTTTTAAATTTTTAAAATTTTCCAGTTTTTTTCCCCTTTTTTTTAATGACAATTCCTTCATCTGATTTTTGTTGTCATTATTTACGTCATTCATTTTTGTTTTGTTTTGTTTTGTTTTTTTGTTGTTTGTCGTTTGATGACGTGAATCAATCATTTTTAGAAAAAAAAGAAAAAATCGATAAACGGAAAAAATTGATCTCATAGATTTTTATCAATATAAAAATCGATGATGATGTCCGTGTAAAATAATTTGCGTTTGTTAATTCCGTTTTTTTTTTCGTTTTCGTTTTCATATATAATTATTATTATAATCTTTCGTCATATTAGTCATTATAATGCATAGAGTGAGAAAGAAAGAGTACAAATGGCGAAATTGATTGATTTTCTGATCAATCTCCGGTTCCAATTTATTTTTTTTTCTCATTGTTTATTATGTACCATTTTTTGTCAACTTGATAATAAAAATATTTTATCTAAAAGGAATAAAAAAAAATTGCAAATTTGAATCGATAATGATCGATATTTTTATCTTTTTTATGCCTACCTACACACACACACACACAGGTTTGCTATCTTGTATCCAATGCCATTGTTTTTCTTTGAAAAACTTTTGATCTAATTTTTTTTTATTTATTAAAAGATTTATTTGTTTGATAATCTGACATTGAAAATGTCATGTGTTTGTGTGTGTAAATTATATCAAAAAGAAAAACTAGGGGAGTAAGAAAGAAAGAATGTTCTTGAATGATATTCTTGACATAAATTTTAACTTTGAAAACTAGTTTTTTTTTTTTGGCTGAAAAGCTTGCCAAAAAAAATACCCAAAATCTTTATTCTTTCGTTATCATTCAAGAATATATATAGAAAGAAGAAGAATAATGTTCTTTATAATGGAAATCAAGATTTTTTCTATAGAAATTTTAAAAATATCTTTCTCAGAATGACATTCAGCAACGAGCGACAAAGAGGAAATGAATGGGGAAGAAAAAAAAGAAAACTTTTATTCGAAATTTTTTTTGTCGATTACGTAATTGTATATGAATGTTGGCAGACATGAAGCAAATGAATGTTGCCCAAGAATTTTTTTTTGTTTTGTTTAAAATCAAGGTTTTATCCCTTTTTTCTTTTTAATTTAATTTTTGTCAATTTTAATTTAATTGTCTTTTGGTTGTTTTTTTTTTGATATTGAAGCACCCGGAGCAAGGTTAACATATTCCTTAAGGAATCGTTTGGAAAAATTAACACTTGATGAACGAAAACGTATTGTAAATCGTTTATATGATGGTTGTTCATCATTATTTATGGCTTGTAAACGTGGTAATGTTGATATTGTTGAATATTTAATTGAACAATGTGGTGCAGATATTGAACTAAAAGGTATATATGAAGTACATGATGATCGTTCAGTACATTTGGTTACACCATTATGGAGTGCAGCTGTTGCTGGAAAAATTGATGTAGTCAAATGTTTGGTTAATCATGGTGCCAATGTTAATAGTCTTTCGGATTCTGGTTCAACACCAGTACGTTCAGCTTGTTTTATGACAAATTTAGAAGTTGTAAAATTTTTAACCGAAAATGGTGCAAATATTTGTAAACCAAATTATAATGGTGGTACATGTCTGATTAATTCAGTACAAAGTGTACCATTATGTGAATATTTATTAAAAAATGGTGCCGATGTTAATGCACAAGATATACAGCTAAAAACTGCATTACATTATGCTATACAAGAACATCGTATTGAAACAACAATATTATTATTAGAACATGGTGCAGGTAAGTTAATAAAAAACATAATAATAATAGGTGTCATTGACATTTCATTTTGAGAATGATGATCAAACAGAATTCAATTTCCGAAGTGGATTTGTTTTTTCATTGTTTTTTGATCTATTTATAATTTTGGAAATGACTATTTTTAATTATTTATTTTTCTATTTGTATTTGTATTTGTTTGTTTATAGATCCATATAAAAAAAATCGCTATGGTGATGATGCATTACAAACAGCTTGTTTAAAAGGTGCTCATCCAATATTTGTTTATCTAGTTGAAACATTACCATATACACGTGAACGTATAGCCGAAGCATATGAATTATTAGGTTCAACATTTCTTGATGAACATTTTGATCTAACATTAACATTAAAATATTGGAAACAAGCATTAGAAATACGTAATGAAAATTTGGATAATATTTTAAAGAAAAATATCCTACCACCAAATCCAGCATTTATGTGGGCAAAAGAATTTCAAACTATTGATGAATTAAATTTAATTGCAAATGATTTGGATGCAATGCGTATGCAATCATTAATTATTAGTGAACGTATACTTGGATCAACACATAAAGAAATGATTTATAGGCTTATGTATCGAGGTAAATTATAAAAAAAATCGATTTGAATTACAAATTGGTTAGAAATTCTGATGATGATGATAATAATAATTTTTCAATCTATTTATAGGTGCTGCTTATGCTGATGGACTTCAATATCAACGTTGTGTAAATATCAAATTTTTTCTTCGTTATAATTTTCATTGCAATAATTTTTTTTAATCATTTAATTAGATTTCACTTTGGAAATATGCATTCATTTTACGAATACAAAAAGATACATTACTACATAATGAAGCTGCTTTTGCTGCTCATGCCTTGGTATGTTTGTATGAAAAAAATTTATTACAATTTATTTTGTTATCGTCATTTTTGTTTTTATAGATAAGACTTTTTCTCGATTTAAATGATAAGCTCAATATTGGTCTGGTTCGTGATGAATTACGTTATGATGATGTTTATGAAACAATCGAATTGATTGTTGATCAATTACAATCATGTAAAGAATTGTTACGAATAAGACCAATTTTCAAAAAACATCAGGAAAATTTTGATAAAATATTAAAGGTAATTTTTTGGATAAAAATAATTTATGGGGATGTTATTTTTAATGGTCAATATTATTATTTTTCTTTTCTTTTCCTTATCAATTTAAATTAGATATTGACACATCTGATTTATATATTGGATGCAAATAGTAAAACAAAAGATGAGGAAAATCGAACATTTTCATTAGTTTGTCGAATATATAGAATAAATCCAACAAATAGTAATGGTGATAGTTTATTACATTTGGTTGTAAGTAAAACAAATATATTGAAAGCAAATGTAAATGGTCACGAAGAAACTTATTCGACGGTATTTCCTGATCTACATATTTGTAATCTATTATTAAGATCTGGTTATGAAGTGGATATATTGAATTTAAGTTGGGAAACACCATTACATATTGCATCATTACATCAAAATTTTAATGAAAAAATTGTTAAATTATTATTGAAAAAAGGTGCTCATATTGATCAAAAAGATATAACGGGCAATCAACCAATAAAACGATTATCGGCCATTAATAAATGCAATATTAATCTAATGCGTTATACAACATTAAAATGTTTAGTAGCATGTAAAATACAAAGCTTCAATCTTCATTATGTTGGTATTGTACCCAAAGATATTGAAACGTTCATTGATCTTCATTAAAATTATTATTATTATTTGATTGATTTCCAATCAAACTTATTTCTTATTGACAACATCAACAATCATTATCATCAGCATCGTTTTTTTCTTGTATAGACGAAAAATTCATCAAATTGAAAATGAAGAAGAAACAAAAATACTCTTTCAAAATTGATTAACAATTTGATGACATATCCAATTTATAATGGAAAAAAAGTTGCTATTTATATTTAGTATTATGTACAAAAAACAAGGCAAGAACTAAGAAGATTTTTTTTTTGGATCAAATTTTGGATTATTACCACCAACAAACTACAACATTAAGTGCAACATTGAGAATTTTTCAATTTGAAACAAATTTTGAAGTATTTTTTTCATTCATTTATTACACATTTCTTCAATTCTTTTTTTTCGACAAATTCAAATTTTGTGATCATCATCGTTGCTGTTGGTTATTTTTTTTCACTTTCTCTTTGTTTAGTTACTAATTGATTGATTGATTGATTTATGACTAATTTTTTCAAACACACACTATATACACTTATTGATGATTATCGAAAATTGTGAAGACATTTTTTTTTTGTTTCTCAGAAAACATCTTATTCGGATAATAATAATCTACATTTATTATGAATTTTGACTATGAATTTTTTTTTGTTACCAACAAACCAAACCACCACACACAAAAACAGACAAAATATTTTCCAATTTACAACCATTTTGTACATAAAAAAAGATGTTTTGGTTTTTGTTTTGTTGACCATTTTTTTTTTAAATTAATCAATTTAGTCATTTAAAAAAAATAATAAGATTATAATCAAGATTTATAAAAATTAAAAATGAAAATTACAGCTAATTTTTGAAATTAAAAATTTTCCCCTCCAAAATGATGTGTTTTTCTGTCAAGGTTATTTAATGACGTGTTCAATCAATCAATCAATGATGATTGAATGTTTCTGGATTTTGAATTTTTTCTTGAAATTTCATTGTTTTTTCTCTGAATTTAATTACTGCTGCTGATGCTGGGTTGTTTGCAGTTTTCTCTCGATATTCAATATTGCTCCACCTTTTTTTTTCTCATTTTCTCTTTTCGTTTTTGAATTGGATGCAAAACCAAAACAAAACGAACAAAAATTGATACACAGAAAGCGTAGGTGAATTAATGATGATGATCCATCTGTAATTATATAGCAGAAATCCCTATTATCACAAATGAATGTGATGTATATGGCAATTTGCGGGCGGTATATATCATTTTCTCAACAAAAAAAAAGCAGCAAGCGAAAAAAAACCCCGAAGAAAACAGAAAACAGCAAACAACAACAACAACAACAAAAATACATTCCGTTAGTTATAATGGCGCCATTGGCACTGTAAGAACAACTGCCGTAATAAGTGTTGTATGTTGTTGTTGTTGTTTGTGTATCTGGATTCAAGGATCCTCACTCTCTCTCGCTATGATGAATGAATGAATGAATGGAGAAAAATTCCTGGCAAACCAAAGCTATATAGAAGATTGGGTGTTTTTTTTTTCTTTTGGGTTTTTATCATTTGCTTCTACATCAAAAAACCAGAAATTTTTTTTTGTTGTTTGTTTTTCTCTCGCCAAATTTTTTTTTTGTTTTGATAATCACCAATGATTCCTTTTTCATTTCGGCATATATATCATGTGTGTGTGTGTGCCGCATACAGTAACCGCATTCATATCCCAAAAAAACACAAATGTGAATTTGTGAATAACGTTTCTTTTTTATGTTGGTCGGTTGTTTATTTTGGAAAACAAAAATTCTCAGCTGGCTTTCGTTTTTTGTTTAATGAAAAAAAAATCAATGAATAAAATTTCTCTTCATTCATCGAAATTTGTTCCAATCGTTTTGGGAATTATTTTCTTCTAAATCATCATTATTTTGGAGTTTTTTCATTTCTTATTCACTTTTACAGTGTTAAATGATCTTTCACATACCAAACCACAAAGTGTGCGTTATTCTTTTGGCCGAATTAATATTCTTGTCAATTTCATTTTTTTGACATCATCCACCGGTTAACATTGAATTTTGTTTGTTGTTGGTTCTGTTGTCAATCAATCAATCAATACATGAATGTACCCGCGACCGACATGACAAAAGTGATGTTTTCATTGAAAATTCTGTTTAAATTCAATTAAAAATTTCATGATTTCAAAAAAAGAAAAAACTTGACTTATCTTAAAATAAAATGGGTAAGTTTTTTCCATTCTTTTGTTTAGAAATTGTCATTTTCAATGATATAAATGTACACACACACACACCAAATACACATATTGTGACTATATAAATGCAGAAACATATTTTTTTGAGACAAACAAAAAAATGAGGACATGCATGCGATCATCATCATAACATTTTCTCAATCATTATTATCTTCTTTTTTTATTATTCGGTCGTTTAGTCGTCGAATGTCATTATTTTTTCTTCATAAATATTTGTTCCGTTTTGATATGACATTTTTCCTGTTTTTCGGTTTTTTTTTGTTTTAGTCAGGCAATCTTGTCCAATTTTGTTCTTGTCGTTGATCGAACGAAACAAATTCGTGCTGTTTTTTTTCTTCAAAGAGTGTCATTTTCATATGAAAAAAGATTTAGGCGTAATTTATATATAGGCAATAATAATGATGATTATGGAATAATTATTATTGAGACATTATCATTTGAATATTGTCCTATATTTGTCTTGGCTTTTTTTCGAAATTTTCTTCATGTAGTCAATGTTTTTTCTATGGAAAAAAAGGAGAAAATTATTCATTTGAATTAATTAAACTTGAAACTTGATTGAAAAAAATGGAAGATTAATCATAATTACCTAATAATTGATGGCCTCTCTTCTTCAATCAATCACTTGTTGCCATTATGTTGGCGATTTATGATTGAAAATTGAAATTTGTTTCTTTTTGTAATTAAAATTTGATAATTGATGAAAAATCTAATAATAATGTTGTTGTTCATTAGATGAAAGTTTTTCCTTGTTTTTTAACAACAGAAATGTCGTAATATTGTGAAAAGTTGTAACGTATGTTGATTATGAAATGACGAATCAAAAAAATGCTGCTGTTAATTTCATTAAGGTCGTCGTCCCTTTTTTCAACTGGAATTTAGATTAATAATGAAATTTTGATAACAGAGAGCTTACTTAAGCAAAATCCAAACAAAAACAAACAAAAAACATCAAACGGTAACGATAGAACCAAATGCCGCCTGTAATGAAACCAAATCAATAATAACCATAAAAATTTTTTCTCTAACCTAATGAGATCAGATAATAAATCAAACAAACAAAAATCTCAATCAACTTTATTAACTTTTTGATTTTTGTTTTTTTCATTAAATTCGGATAATTCGAACGTTTTTGTTTTCGGAAAACGTTCGAATTATGATTTTTATGAATAACTCCGTTCCATTCCAGAAGTGGAAAAAAAAACAAACAAACATCTTCGGTGTGAGCGACTTTTTGTTTTTTTTTGTTTATCTGTAAAAATTATTCCACCATGAATCATCAGATTTTTGGAGAGAAGAGAAAAATAATCTGCAATATCATTGTCATCGGCAACAACAACAACAACAATGGTTGGCACCGACAATGACAATAAAAAAAAATTTGTTACATCAAAAATGCTAAGCTAAGAAAAAAAGTTCCAGTTCAAAGACATTTTTTCAAAAAAAAGATCGACAGAAAATAAAATTAAGAGATTTTTTTCTTGTTGTTGAAATTTGTCAAGTGTGTTTGTGTGTATGTAAACACCTTATCTTTAAGATAATTTGAGTAGTGAAAAAAAATATGACTGACATTTTTTTTTGTCGAAAAGTGATGATGATAATGATTACTTTTTTGGCCCATTGATTGATATTTCAATCAGAAGAAAATATGGCTGAATTTTTTTTTATCAATAAAATGGCCTACAAAATGGTAGTTTTATTGGTCGGTTTGATCGATGTGATTCATGATTTTTCGTTGGAAAATTGATTTTCAATCACATGTTTAACGGCGATATTTTCATAATAATAATCATTTACTTTCCGGACATTTTTCAATCATCATCATAATGATGATGGGCGAATTAGAAAAATGAAAAAGTATCGATGACTATCGATAGTCTAATGATTATATGTTTCCTAAATAATAATCATCGACTATCGAATAATTATATATGGAGAGGGAGATCAAATTATTGATCAAATTGAATTAACATTTCCAGACAGAAATCAATCGATCGATCGATTGATAATTATCATTGGATATCAATCAACAATATTGGTGGAAATTCAATTTTTTCAATGTATTTCAATCTTCATCCATCCATTCATTCATTCATTTACCGAATGTCTTTGACATTATCATCATCATCATCATGATTTTCTTAAATATCTTTTCAATTGTCGTAAGGCGTTGGCTGTTGTCGTAAATCGTCAACAACAACAACAACAAACAACAAGCAAGCAACAAACATTTGTTGCACATTCAAAATCATATTTCATTTGATTTTTTTTTTTAAAAAAAAAGAAAAAAACTTTTTTTTCCCATTAAAAAAAATTTTTTTTTTTTTTTTTTTTTTTTTTTTTTTTTTTTTGAAAAACATTATCATCATCATCAAGATGCTACTGTTTTTTGTTTTTCTTCAAATAGACTCGAGAACCGAATAAAAACATCTATAGTGAATCTTGCTACTCTCTCTCTCTCTCTCTCTCTCTCTCACAACACGATGATGACAGTTGCCAAGTTTTTATTTTTAATTTTTTTATTTTTCAAATAAAAAAAATTATTCACGCTTTTTTTTCGCTGGGTTAATTTTCATTTTTTTAATGGATAGAATGCTTGTGGGTGGCTGGTTAGTTTGCTGAAAAAAAATATGACGTAATTTATTTTTAACTTTTCAATTCATCGTTTGACATTAGCTGAATTCAAAGCAGCTAAAACACGACAGATGTGTAATGAATATAAAACGGTTGTTTAAAAATGCTACACACGATTCTTGCTGCTGTTGTTGTTGTCGGGTAAATTTTTTGTTTTCCGGGAAAACAAAAAAAAAATCGGGTGTTACTTGAAACACCAAAAAAACGATGGTTTCGGAAATATGAAGGAAAATGTCATATTTTTGAATTTGATGCGCGAAGCTGATTATCATCATCATCATTTTAATCGAGGTTATCCATCAAGGATTCCTGTTTTGTTTTGTTCGCCAGAAATGCGGAAAGAGAGAGAGTGAGGATGAAAAATCCGTGTCATTCGATATTTGATTGATTTTTTCTCTCGGATCAAAGATCAATTTTTTTTTCGCTTGTTCAATAACGCGATATCGATTTTCAAAAAAAAAAATCGTGTCAAATATCTATGTCATCATTTTACACACACACACACACATCACACACACAGACAATTACATTGTAATTTGAAAACATTTTTAATCAATTAATTTCAATTTCAATTTCATTACAGGCAAAGTTTTATGCGAATCTTGCCTAAAAAAATGTTCCGGTAATGTTTTACGTGTTGGTAAAGTTTATTTTCATATTGCTTGTTTTAAATGTCATGGTTAGTAATTGATTGATTGATTTTGATTATCGATTAATAATGATTTTTAATTGTTTAATTTCGATAAAGAATGTGGCGTTTCATTATCAAAAGGTGGATTTTTTACACATTCAATAAATAATAATTCCAATTATTATTGTACAAAATGTTATCAAAATTCATTTGGTACAAAATGTGCTGCATGTAATGAATTTGTTGAAGGTGAAGTAATTAGTGCATTAGGTAATACTTATCATCAACAATGTTTTCGTTGTAATCGTTGCAGGTAAAATAGATTAACTTAATCAAATCAAATCAATTTTTGAAAATCAATTTTGTTTTTGTTGTGTGAAAATTTAGGCAACCATTTCCAAGCGGTGAAAAAGTTACCTGGACTGGAAAAGAATGTCTTTGTTCGAAATGTATACAGATACCGACTGTATCGACAACAACGAATAATAATAATAGTGATGGACTTGTGCCAAGTAAGCAACCCAAAAATTCATTTTGTAATTTTTATTCAATTTTTTTCAAAAAATTTATTTAAAAACTATAGTTTGTCAATCATGTAATCAAGATATATCGGATGGACAGGCATTGATTGCATTGGATAAACATTGGCATATTTCTTGTTTTAAATGTGAAACATGTGGTTGTATATTACATGGTGAATATCTAAGTAAAGATGATAAAGTTTATTGTGAAAAAGATTATCAGGTAAAATTTTCGATACAATTTTTCTTTTTGCTACATTTTTTTTTTGCTACAATTTTTGATACAATCTCGCTACATTTTCGCTACAATTTCGATACAATTTTGATACATTTTGATTTTTTTTTGTTTAATTAAAGAAACAATTTGGCATAAAATGTCATCATTGTGAACGTTATATAACGGGTAAAGTTTTACAAGCTGGTGATAATCATTTTCATCCAACTTGTGCTCGGTGCATAAAATGTGGTGATGTATTTAGTGATGGTGAAGAAATGTATATACAAGGTGCTGCTATTTGGCATCCAAGATGTGGACCAGGACCGGGTGAAAAAATACCTGATGAAAATTTAATAACAACAACAACACCGGTTGATCATCAGGTAATTTTAAACAAAAAAAAAATTGTTTTTTTTTTTGCAACTTGCATCCTCGTTAATTAATTTATCATAATTTTTTTTTGAATTTTTGCATGTTGGATTGCTTGATTTTTTTTGAAAATTTGTTTTAAAAATTTTGATGCTTATTTGCTGTGTGTGTATCCCTCCTTTGGCCGGAAAATATTTTTTAAAAATTCCAGTATTTACAACCCGAATCACCTCCTAGCATGAATAGTTCTTCTTTATCTCGTTCGATTAGTCCGTTTGGTAATTATAATGGTGAACAGGTTTGTTTGTTTTTTTTTTTTTGGTTTTGTTTCTCAAGATTTTGTTTTTTGGTTATTTAAATATGCTTAAATGTGTGTTTGAAAATGAATATTTTGTTTTAATTTTCTGAATTCAAATTTTTGTTTTTTCCCCATTGAAAAGCTAAATGAATCATATCCTTATTTGGATAAAAATCAAACATGGACAAGCGATATGATGAATCGTTATTATACATATAGTTATTTAACAGCTGAACCAACACTTGGTTATTTAAGAAAACCAATCGATCCACGTCCACCAAAATCACCACAATTTCATCGTCCACCTGATTATAATCATCAATATGATTATCATCATCAAAATCATAATAATCATCAACAACAACCCGGTAGCAGACGAACACAAAGTAGATCACCAAAACAAGGAATGCGTGCAATGTTAGATCAATTACAGGCAACATCAAATTTATCAAGGCCAAAATCACCATCAATGAATAATGAAGAACCAATTGAATTATCACATTATCCAAGTGCACAGAAACCAAATCCAAATGATGTACCAACAATTGAACGTGATGATTTTCCAGCGCCACCTGTATGTTGTTGTTTTTTTTTAATTTTTTGATTAATTTTTTCAATTTTGCTTTCACCCTTTGATAGTTTCCTTATGCTGATCCAAATCTAAAAAAATGGTATAATTCAAAAGATAATCTTGAAGAAGAATTCGTAGCAAAAGAAAGAGAAGAAAATTTTGTCAATCCACAACTGAAAAAAGAAGAAGAAGAACTATCGAAAATTGCAACCGGAATTGGTAAAGTTTTCCTAAAAACAGTTAAAGAACGTGAAAAAATTATGGCATATCGTCGAGCAAATTTGGATCCACGTAATGCATCACGTACACCATCCGCTCGAACAGAAATTCCTGCCCGTTTAAGATATGATAATCCGGTCAATGCTTGTATGTGTTTTTTGATTTTTGAACATTATCAGAATGGAAATCATTAAAAAAAATTTCTTGTTTGTTTTGTTTTGTTTATTTAGCACCATCACGTGATATTGATCGACCAAAACCATGGGAAGAAGATGAATATGAACGTTATTTTTATCGTAATTCTCGTATCACTCGTAGTCAACCATATATAAATTATAATGGTATGTTTTTTTTGCATAAAAAAATGGATACATTTTGATACATTTTAATGGATACATTTTGCTACATTTTTTTGTTTTTTTAAAATTATTAAAGTGGTATCATCATCACGAAATACACCTAAACCTGGTTATAGCCTTAAACATCGTGAAAATGGTGATGTTGTTGAATCACCATTTACGGAAAAATATTTGGAAAAAACACAAAGTGCCGAATTTGGTAGTAAAAGATCAAATGGTAAGTTATTAAAAATATTGAATGAATGAATGTGTTTTTAACCCTTTGAATTCCGAAAAAAATATCAAAAGTTTCAGCATTGTCCGATCATCAAAATCGATATTATATGGTGAGTTTGGAATTTATTTCTTTTTTTCAAGTTTTTTTCAAACTTTTTTGATTTTTTTCCATTGAAAATAATCATAGAATCATAGTGCAAGTGGTACATTTCGTGGTACAACAACCCCTTATTCAGAAGGATTTGGTACCTATCATGGTTATCATTATCCACAACAACAATATTCCGGTTCATTTAGTCCACATTTTCGTCGTTCAATGCCAAATGTTAATCTACAACATTTGAATAATGAACCAGCAAGAGAATATCCATATCATTTATTAATGATAACAAATTATCGTTTACCACCAGGTATTATTGTAATCAAATCAATCAATCAATTTTTGTTTCTAATTTTGTTACTTTTCAAATTTTTTCAAAAGATGTTGATCGTTGTCATCTGGAACGACATTTAGAAAATAGTGAATTTGAACGAATTTTGGGTATGAATCGAATGGATTTTTATCGGCTACCTGAATGGAAAAGAAATGAGCTTAAAAAACGTGTTAAACTTTTTTGAAAAAACAAAACAAAACACAAACAAAATAAAATTTTCAAATGAAACACAACCAAAACACACAAACAAACAAAATCAAAACGAAAGGATTACTCACACGACACTGATACACTGCCTAATTCTTATTAGATGATGATGATGGACAAAAACAGAAAAATTATTTTATTAGTCTTTTTTTTTCTCACTGACACATTTACACCAAAAACAAACAAGCAGCAGTTTTTTAGATTTGATAAAACAAAAAACAAAAAAATTGATTAATTACAACAATAATTAGCAACAACAACAACAACAACAACAAAAAGTCACGATAAAAATGTGATATGAAATTTTTTTTCTTCTTCTTTCTTCCTTTTTCTTCATTTCTTTTTCTAGTCTTGAATGAATGAATGGATTTTTTTTCAAAGTTCAAAATTGAAATTAAAATCGGTTTTTTTCGTCATTAAATTTGTTTGTTTTCGGTTAACCTTTTAGTAGATATTCTTTTGGTAAAATGAATATAAATAGGCCAACATAGGAAAGCATTATCTATAAAAGGAGGAAAAATTTTTTCATGAAACAAAAAAATCATTGCATTTTGTTTTTTTGGACTTACATTAAACATTGTACGAAATGTAATTGTACCAATATTAGCAATCGAATGACCATAATATGGTTCAGTTGTTAAACAATGAAAAAAATTATCATATTTAATTTTAAATGATAATGGCCTACGTATACAATAAATAATTGATGTAAGATTTTTTTCCGAACATCGTAATAATTTACTTTGTAATGCAATAAAATATAATGGTAAAAGAAGAAAATCTTCAAAAAATATAATAAAACTGATCAATATTTTATCATACCAAAGACCTAATTGATTCCATAATGCTGATACACCCAATATATGTGATGGTAAAAACAATATTAATATACGAAAAAATAATTTACTATAAATATCATTGGATGAAACATTTATATAATGAACAATACGATTATGTTCATGTAATAATTGTATTAACATTATTTGTTCATTTAAATTATATGATGAACGATATATACCATTTATACATGGATGATTATTAATACGATGACTTTGTAATGATAATGAACGTAATGATGAATTAATTTTTTTCAATATAAATATTTGATAAATAATTGTTATCGATACCATAATAACTAATATTATTGCATTATGTAGAATAACAAGAAAATGTACCGAAAACATGAATATATCAAACCAAATGAATAAATGTATAAATATTTGCGAATGATATATTCTCAATAATGAATGATAATAATATGGAAAGAAAAATAAACTGAATAATACTGTTGTGAAAGAAAGAAATGAAAAGAGAAAATTAAACGATGAAATTTTTCAAAATTTTAATCAATAAACTTACCCAATGAAATATGACTAATAAAACAAAGTTGTTGTATAATAAAATTAATAATCATTAAAAATGATCTTGATTCAATCGAAATGTTTGGTATTGTTTCTAATTTAAAATTTGATAATTTTTTCTGATCAACATATTTAAAATGAAAATAATAATCAAATTTATTCGATTGTCGACGATACCATCGATATAATCGAATTGGTATAATAAATTCGAACCATTTATTCGATGGTTTTAATATATAGGTATTTAATATGATTTCTTTATCTTTTTCCTCTATCCAACATTGTTTACATTGTTCAGTATTTGTTAATGATAATTCATATGGTAATTTATATGTTAATTTATTAACATTTGTAAAGAAAATTTTTCTTTCACATTCCATACCGAATAATAATGCACATAATAATATTATTGAATAACGTTGAAATAAATGTGGATGATCAAATATGAAAAAATTAAATAATGGATCATATTGCCATATATTTATATGACAATAATAACTAATTAAACAAATTAAAATTCTTGCCACTGTAAATGTAAATAATGCAATTATTAAAAGATGTTTTTTCCGGTAATTGAATTGATTACGTTCGATAAAAATTTCGGTCAATTTTTCATCATAAAGATGGAAAAATTTTTGTAATTTTTCAATCATGATTGAATCTTCTTTTGTTTTTGATGAAAGGAGAAAAAACTAAATTCAAATCTATTTACTATAAATTTGAATTTGTAATTTTTTTTTCATTTTGTTTTCGAAACAAAATGAAAATGCGACACACACACACACTCACTATATTTCGTGATAAAAAACAAATTGTTTTTATTAATGAATTTTGTTGGTTTAGACAACAACAACGGCAACAAAACAAAACGAAAAAAAAACCATGGTGCGAAAGTCAGATCTTTTTATTCCGCGGAAAAACTCGGTAATTTTTGAAGAAAAAAAAAATAAAATTTAAATTCGAACAATAACAAAAAAAAAACGACGGATATTTCCACTTTGAAAGGCTCAAAAAAAAGTATATAAAAAATTGATAAAATTTTTTTCCCTCCATCCGGATATTTCGATTCTCGTTTGTTCATATATGGTAGTAATAGTTTCGAAGGAATTTTTTCTTTGTTGTTGTTGTCGTTGAATCGATTGAATCGACTTTGACATTAATATTAACTTGATTTCTTTAAAATTAACTTCTTTTTTTTTTTTGTTGGTTCGATATTTGTTTTTTATTTTCTTTGTCAACAATCAATAAAGAAAATGGGCTGGGGAAAAAAATGATAATTGTTTATTTCAAGCAAATTCCCTTGGTCGATAAACTCTCAAGTTATATTTTCATGGTCAAATTGTGTGTGTGTAAGTTTGCAGGTTTGGCAATGATAATCTTTGTATTTTTTTTCCATGTTTCAACAACATATTAACATATCTAATTCAGTTTCGGAATTATTCGATTAATCCGGGATTAGTGTTCGGGGGGGCTTTGTTCAAATCTGAATCTGATGTCTAAAATGGTCGTTCATTCGTTTCATATGATTATGACAACAGCACCAGCAACGATTTGCTGCTACCACAGAATTATATTTTTAGATTTTTTTTTATTTGTTGGATTTAATCCAACATCGTCATCATCGGGCAATGTTTTTGGAAATTCTGTTCATTCATTTTTGCAATTCTATCCTAAATGAGAAACCGACTGCCATACTGATCAATGTCGTAAAGTTCAAAAAACAACAAAAAACAAAAAAGCAAAAATCAATTCGGGTGGTAAGTTTTCTTGATGATGATGATTAATCATTTTCTTTCAGGTTTAATTATAAATTTGATTTTGATTTTGATTTTTTGTTTCTAAATTTGTCAAAAAGAATAAATAGCAAAATTCATTCACACAAACACGTCAGCCAAGTGTAACGATTTACCCACCAAAAAAAACTCAAGAATCAATATGTGTCGGTATCGTGGAAACAGAAATTATTTACAACAACAACAACAACAACCGCAACAACAACAACAATTATCATCATCACCATCATTATCATCATTACCAAGAATTTTACAGGCAATAATACGTATGGAACGACAAGCTGATAATGATTATTATCTAATTCAATCACGTTTATTACAGATAAAAGAAATGGAATCAATATTAAATAAATTAATATCAACACATTTAGATTCAGATAATTATGTTGATTATCTATTTCGTCGTGCTGAACAATTAAGTACACATCTGGAAACATATGAAAATATTATTGGAAAAATTGATATTGGTAATGAAATACGCAAAAATTTCAAACAAATTTCCAATGAATTTGTTGAATATTTAAAACAAAAAATTCAATTTAAATCAATATGGATTGAAAATTTACAAACAATTGAAATTGGTCGACAAACAATACGAGAAAAAATTTCCAATTTAGATGATTTTAGACAATTAATTGAAAATCTATATGAAAATGATGAATATTTTCAATTAAATGAACAAAGATTAAAATTTGATCAAGAATTTGATGAATTAAATCAACATGTTGATAATTGTTTTCAATATGGACAACAAACAAAAGAATTAAGTTCAAAATTATATGATAAACTGACCGAATTGGAAACAAATTTCCAACTGATTGTACGTGAATCAATGAATAAAATTAATGATATTAAACGAACATCGATAAAAATTCCGGCAACCTGTTGATTTATGTTGCAACCTAAAATTCATTTATGTTGATTTGATTGATGTTTCTTTTTTTTTGAAATTGAATAAAAAAAGTTTTTTGTTTTGTTTTGTTTTGTTGATTTGTTTTGTTTTGTTGATTTTGTTGTTTTTTTTTTTGATTTCTCGTCACCTAGTGATGGCGATGATAAACACTAATGGTAACCATGATTTTCAAAAAAAATATCATCCAAAATCTGATATCATCAGCATTCCAAACAAACAAACTTTGTTTGTTATTATTTACCGTATTTTGGTTGTGATCTTCGTCGTCGTTGACATCGTGACTCATGTGGATTTTTCATTTGGACAAAAATGAATCAAATTCAACAATTATCCAATAATCGATCAATAATGTTGATTTTTTTCAGTATTTTCCTGATGATTAATATCGAATTGATTCAAACAATATCAATGAAACCAGAACAATATCGTCGATTAATAATGAATCGATGTTATAATAGAACAGAATATCATCAACCATTAATATTGGGTCAAACAAAACCAATCGGTATGAGTATTGATTATTTTGTACGATTAACAGAAAAATTGGAACAAAATTATCCAGAATTGGATATGAAACAAATTGTAACAATGATTTTGAAAAGGTTTGAATATTCTTCTTCTGCATTTCATTTTTGGTTTTTGATTTAATGATTTCCAATTGAATTAGATTTCACTATGATGGTATACGTAATCTTGATCATGAAGAATATACCTTTCATCAAATACGTTATCAACAAATGCAACAGGAAAATGATCTAAATCGACGTCTGATGAATGAAATGTTATTTCAGGAAAAATTGGCGGATGTAGATGACAGTTTACCGGTGTTTGATGAGAATGTTTTCAATGAAAATGAAAAATGTGCAATGTTTTTTATGATATCACATACGGTAAATAGAACGGCTGTTGATAAGTAAGTCTTTTCGGAGGTTTTTTTCGAGATTCCATAATTCTCATCTTCTTCATTCAACATAGTTATGGTAATCAAATTGTCAAAGAATTCGGTGTTGTTAGCCTTATGAATGATGATAATATGGCCATATCTTTGAATTATGTTTTGCTTGGTATAGCAGCTGCTTTATATGATTTACCAATTTTACGATTCGATAATGAAAGAGATCAATTAGAAATTGATCCATTATATGCTGTAACATTATCGGATAAATTAGCTATTTCATCATTGGAAAGTATTGAAAATTATGATAGTATGCTTGGATCGCAAGGACATTGGAATTCAACATATTGTCAAAGTGAATATCAAATTATTGATCGTAATAATCGTCATGTTGCAACAATGTCGGAAATTAATGGCGGTATTGATGGTTGGTTAATTGGTAATAAATTATCAACCGAACATGGACGTCAACTTCGCCAGTTAAAATTGAGCCAAATAATCGATCGATACTATTCACATGATGGACTAACAATCGATTGTGGAATTTGTAAAGTGGATTTATTTCCCGAAATTTTTATCGATAATCTTTATCAAACTGCACGTGGTTATTCATTTTATTGGAATAGAAAATTTTTACATGAAAATTTAGAATATGAACGTATTGATGGTTTTATACATACAATGATTCAACCATTTCAACAATTTATAATTAAATCTAATCGATTAAAAAATGCTGGTAAGTTAATTAACCCTTGATCATCCGTTTTTTCAAAAATCTAATTTTTCCCTGCAGAATGTTCACGTATTAGTCAACATCGTAAAATTGATATACAAATCGAAACTAAAAGTGATCTTTATATTATGATTGATAATAATGCACATGAATATTCTAAATATCATCTTGAATCAATAACAAAATTATTAATAAAATTAAAAAGTTTAAATTCATTAGGACGGATAACAATAATGGTTAATGCACAACAAGGTTATGATTCGGAACATTTATCAAATAAAAGTGATGATTTTCGTTCATCATTACATTTGTTGGTTTATAATACAACATCACAACAACAGGCAACATGTCGTTTAGCTTGGTATAATTATCGTAAATAATTACTTTTTTACCTGAGTGATTTTTTCACCTGAATTTACCTAATTTGTTTTTTTCATCAATTTTCACAAAAACAGGTGAAACAACAATCAACAGTAAAAAAACATTATTATTTAATTTGGTGGAATTTTTTAAACGTGATCAAGCAGTTAATCAATGGAATAATGATGGACATTCAAAAAATTTCCTATGGTTTTCATTAAAATCCAATTCATATGAACATTTAATTGAACGTGATCGTTCTTATTATTATCAATATCGTTGGAATTTATTATATTATCTGAATGTACGAATATTTTTCCTAACAACATATGATCAACATTTGGATGATGATCTAAGTCAAATGATTATTAATAAAGGTGATTGGTTTCGTGTTGATGCTCTGAATTATATGGATGATATTCAGGTGGATAAAATTGTACAACGTATATTGCAAACACCGAGGCCGATACAGATCATCGGTGATGGTGATGGTGATGGTAATGATCAATGTCAAAAATCAACGAATGAAACCACCAGAATTGAGCAAAAATTTTTACTGGGTAAAAAACGTAAACAATATTGGGTTCTATATCCAAAATATTTTCTCGATAGCCGTTTGATTCATTTTAAGGTAAGTTTTTCTTTTTGAAAAAAAAATTCCCAGTTAACCCTTTTCTCTCTCCTAGTTTCATTCGGAAACGGAAAGATTACGTATCTGTCTTGGACGTTATCTATTTCCCGAAACAAATTATACACAATGTCGTGAATCAACCAATAGCCAAAATACAATGTCAATTGAATTTATAATTGCACATCCATGTAGATGGAATTTGATTGAAACTTGTTTACCAATCTATATTACTATTATCAATAAAGATGATATGAATATCAATCAACAACAACAACAACAATCTTTGCAGCCATGTTATTATTTACATTCCAATGGTAAATTCATTGAAGGTAAACAAAACAAACAAGCCAAAAAAATCCACTTGAAAAATTAATCCTTGAATTTCTTTCTTTTCATTTTTTTCCATTATCACCATTTTTCGAAATCGAAAAACGAAAGATGTCTGCCAATCACGACAACAACAAATATGGACATTATCAATGGACGGTCTGAAATGTTCGGAAAATTTTTCCAGAAATTTTTTACCAAATTTACAAATTTTAATTTTCTGTTTACTGTTAATCGTTTTGATGATGAAATAAATAAATAAAGATGCAATGATTCATTTGTTTGTAATAACTCTTTCGTTATTTTCGCTCTAAATTCATCTGAAAATTGAAATTTCTGAAATCGTAGTCGTCGATGATGATGATTAACCAATCAATTATGTATTTGAGACGCCCAGCCATTTAGCTTCTTGAGTTTTTGTTTTTTTTGGGGCGACTGAAATCATCGATAGATTGCCCGGATTATTGCAAACATTTTGTTTTTGGGTGGTTTTTGTTTGCTTGCTTGCATATCGAACGATAGAATAACCATAGTGATTTTCTTATTGATAATATTTTCTGTTGTTTGAAAAACTATCATCCATATCGTCCAAAAATTATTATTATCTTTTGGGCTGATGCTGTCTGTGCTTTCGTTGTTGTTATTATAACTGGAAAAAAAGTGAAAACAAGAAAATGTTGTCATTGGAAATTTGTTTGTCGTCGTTGTCGATTATGTTTAACCATGGTTTCCTATAAACACAACTAATAATCAGATAACATCAAACCAAAAACTTATAAAAGATTATTTCAATTTTCACTTTCTTAATCTCCAAAAGTAAACCAGTGTTGCTTCAAAATCGTCAAATTTTTACATTTTTTCAAAAAATTTCATTTTTCAATTTTGAGTGATTGAATGAAAAAGATGAAAATTTCATCATTTTTGTTGGCAATCGCAGCCACGATTGTTTTCATCGATCAAACGAACACAATATCAGTACCAGTTGAACGTTATGATCTAATAAAATTACGTTGTTTTAATCGTTCAAGAACAAATGGCAAGGAATTAATACTTGGTCAAAATGAACCGATTGGTCTTTCAATGGAAAACCTAATTTCAATGATTGAAAAATTTGAAAAATTAAATCCAAATTATACACCGGATAATGTTATAAAAATTTTTCTTCGAAGGTAAGTTATTCTTTTGCTAATTTTTCATTGTAAAAATCAAAAAAAATCCAAAAATTTTTTTCAAAAAAGATTTCATATTGATGGTGTTCAATTTGATGGAAAAAATAATATTCCAATTGAAAAATATCGTAGTCAATCAAAAGTTATTGATGCTATACTATCAATCGATCATCATGATACTAGTTTTGATCATTTATTTCCGGAAAATCAATTTACTGAAGATGAAAAATGTAATTTATTTTTTACATTATCACATTTTATTAATGAAACAGCTAAAGCAAATGAAAATATATCGAATATTTTCATTGGAAATTTACCACGTTCAATGGAAAGAATTCAATTGTTGGCATTGAATTCAGCACCGATTCGTGATTTAGGTAATGAAATACCGTTAGAAGAAACAACAATATCATCATCATCAATAACAGCCAACAACAACAACAACAACAACAACAATAATCAATTTGGAAAATTACAAACACAAAAACCAATCATGAAACGTAATAGAAGAGAAATCAGGTAAGTTTTTTCTTTCAAATTATTTTTCATGTTTCTAAAAACATTGATTGATTCGATTCGATTCAATGATTATAGAATGACAAGAAAACCAAGAGAATATGGTGTAGTAAGTTTTCTTTCATCGGAAAAAGATCCAATCAGTGCAAGTCGTGTTCTATTAGGATTATATGTTGGATTAGTTGGTACAAAACCACGTAAAGTAATCGATGTAATCAAAGATTTGGGAAAAACACCTGTTGAAAATGAATTGAATATGAAAGAAATTGATCCACTTTTAGCTGTAACATTGGCCGATATTTTTAGTCCGGCTAGTTTATATGAAGAAAACGAACCATTCGGTGCTAATGGTGTTTGGAATAATAATGTTTGTCATACAGAATTTATACTTGGAGACAATAAAGGTTTATTGGGAACAATGGCCGAATTACGTGGTGGTTTAGATGGTTATAATATTGGTACAATGATGGAATCAATACGATTAACATTTCCAAATATAACAGCAAGTCAAGCATTACGTTATTATTATACAAAACAAGGTTTAACATCCACAGCAAGTGTTTGTTATCGTGATTCTTATATGGATAATTTATTGAAAGATGATTTGATTGATTCAGTTAAAAAATATTTAACAATATGGAATAATTTTTATTTTGATGGTCTTCATGATAAAAGTCGTCTTGATGGTTATGTTAATCTATTCAAAGATATATTCATTAAAAAATTGGGTGAATCAGCATCACACAATGAAGGTATGTTTGTTCATATAATTTGAAATTGAAATTTTCCAAAAATTTGTTTTGGTTTTCTTGCTTTAGAGTTGAAAAAATTATGCTTTGAAACAATAACGGACGATATTCGAAAACGACAATGTGAAACAATATCAAATGCATTCTTTATATTGGATATAAGTCAAACATGTAACCAACAACAACAAAATCAAAATCAACAACATTGTTTGAAACAGGCAACCTTTGTAAATGAATTAACAAAAAATATGTTAATGAAAAGAAATTATGGTTCAATTTCAATATTATATAATGCATTACCGGTTGAAAATCCATCATTGATTGATGATCAAATGATGCCAGTAAATATATCATTATTTTCAGTTTCATATAATAAAACATCATCGGAATGTGCATCTTGTAAAGCAATTTATGGTGATACAAGTAAGTTATCGAAAATTTGATGATAATGATGATGATTTAAACAAAAAAACTTTGATTTTGATTTTTTTCAGTGGCTCAACGACCAATTCAAAATCGTGTCGAAATGTTTGATCGTTTAAATCGAATGCTGGAACAATTTGATGAAATTTATTGGAATCGAACAGCCGTACCAGGAAAATTATTATTTTGGTTCGATTATGGTACATTACAATCGATACCAGACGATGTTGTTGAAAAAATTCGATACAATCGATTTTCACGGGAATTAATATTTCGTACAAGAAATTCTGGTTTCTATTCATTCGCAACAAATCAAACAACATTAAATGATGTTATTTCGGTTGCTAACAATATGATTCATATTAATTCGAATGATAATTCTTCTACGATAAAAATGGATGATCTTAATCATCTATGTCAAATGTCACCACAAATATTTCAATATCCACAATGTAAAATACAACCATCCAATAATAATGTTTATCGTGGTTTTATTTCAAGAAATCGTCGTCAATCATGGGCAATGTATTCGGAATATTTTATTAAAAGTTATCATATTGAAATTCGTGTAAGTAAAAACGTTTTTTTTTTTTGTTTTTCACCGTAAAAAAAAAATTTGATGATTTCGTTTCGAAAAATTTCCCTACACCAATAGTTCCGTGCTGAAGAATCCAAGTTAAAGGTTTGCTATGGTCGTACAATGTTTCCGGAAAATGATGAAAATAATTGCCGTGTGAATCAAAATCTAAAAGATGATATTGTTTTGAATATAAATAATCCATGTCAAGGAATGAATACGGATAAATGTCCACCATTTTATTTTACAATCACTTTGTATAGTCCACCTGACAATCATCGTTTCTGTACAGGTTTGTGTGTTTCTGGATTTTTGATTTTTTTTCACTGAAAATTTTTCAAAAAATTTTTTTTCCCCACTATTTTTTTTGCACAGATGCTGATTGTCAAAATATTGATCAATTTGCATGGTATTTTAGTCATACCGGGATTTCCTGTAATCATGCTAATTCGTTGAAAATTTCATCATCATCATCAATTTTTATAATTATCACTGCTATGTTTACATTTATTATGAACAAATTTTTCTTTTTAAATTAAAATTAAAACTAAAAATGAATTTTGTTGAAAATTAAAAAATGAATTTTTTTGAAAAAATCGAATCAATAAAAAAAAATAACGCTAGATGGCGCTGACAACAATATGTTTACACAACGGTTTTTTTCTGTTGTTCGACAAAATCATTGTTTCGCCTTCGATTGAGAAGAATGTTTTTTTTTTTAATTTTTTGATTTGATCATTTGATTTTTGACTCGCGTTTGACAATTTTATGACAAAGAAAAACATGGCAATTTTTCAACAAAGTATGAATTTTTTGTATTGTTTGTTTTCGGATTGCAATTTTTAACAACAAATTTTAATTTGATTTCGTTTAGAAAAATCCAATTCAGATAAAAATGTTAGTGAAGATGATGGTGCTGTTGTTGGATCCGAATATTTTAAACGTTTTGTATTTGATTTGAAAAAATCATCAAATTCAAAACAATTAATGGCTGGTGCTATGGGCGGTATGGTTTCAGGTTATTTAGCAGCAAAATTTGGTAAATTAGCTGCTATTGCTGTTGGTGGTAGTATGCTTGTGATACAGGTAATGTTTTTTTTTTCTTTCATGATGAAATCTTTTGTTATACTTACTTACATTATACTTTTTTTTCTGTAGATTGCACAATATAATGGTTATATTGAAATTGATTGGAAAAAAGTTAATCAAGATGTACAAGTAGTGAAAAAAACAATGAACAAAAATAAATCACAATTACCAACAGTTGTAAAAAATATTGAAGAATTTGTAAAAGAAAATGTAGTATTAGCTGGTGGATTTGCATCCGGATTTTTGATTGGATTTGCTTGGGCATAAATTCCATATTTTCATTTTCATTTCGTTTTTTTCCAAAAATCGATGAAATCTTCAATCCAAAATCCCAACATCGACATTAAACATATATATATAGAGAGAGAGAGAGAGAGAGAGAGAGAGAGAGAGAGAGAGATAATTTCAAACAACAACTACTGATACACTATCTAGCATAATCCATATTATAAATTCTATTCGTCATAACATTATCCATATTGTAATCTAAACTAATAAAACTTTTAAAAAAATTTTAAAAAATCTGAAAATGAAAAAAAAACTTGATTTCTTAAATACAGAAAAAAAATTCAGTTTATACGTTGTGCGTTGCCCCATTCGAACATTCTTTGATGCGCATACCCAAAAAAATATATGAGTGCAACGTATAAACTAACCAGAAATGATTATTCAATCAATCGATGTTAATGTTCATCATCATCAACAAAGCGTCATCATCAATCAAAACAAGCAAACGAAAACAAATAACCAAAACAAACAAACGAAAAACACTGATAGCAGCTGAGTGATAATTATTAGATTCTTTCCTTTCGATATATGCGCGTTCAATATCATCATTGAATTAATAATTTCATTCTTTTCTTTTCTGTTTCGAATGTTTATTGCAAAAAAATCGTTAACATCGGTTGCCTATTGAGGTTTTTGTTGTTTACCCAAAAATTGGAGAAAAAAAGACGAGACTTTTTTCCGTAATCTGATCAGTTATTTTTCAATTTTTTATTTATTTTCCCAATTGTCGTCGAATGACGCCCCAATCAACGATCCTGTAAATTGTAAACCTGTGATTTTTTTTTTGAATTCAATTAACTCACACTTGAAACAACAACAATGACCACAGAGATCAAAGCATATTATCAGAATGCAAAAATTCAATTATTAAGTAAATTAGAAGGACATCAAGATGTTGTTAATGCAGCTTTTATTATTCCAAATGATGATGGTGTTATCAGTATCAGTGAAGATAAGTAAGTTGAATGAATGAATGAATTGGTGATTGGTGTTTTTACCTGACATTTTTTTTCAACTCTTTTTTTCTCTGAAAAAACAGAACCCTAAGAATTTGGTTGAAACGTGATCGTGGTACCTATTGGCCTTCAGTATGCAATGTTCTTCCAGGTAAGAACTTGAAGATTGACTGAAAGTTTACCTGAAAATAATTTTTTCGTTTTTTCTCTCTCTCTCTCTTTCAGCACCAATTTCATCAATGGATTATAATCATCAAACAAAACGTTTATTTGTTGGTCTTGATAATGGTTATATATCAGAATTTAATGTTTCGGATGATTATAATCGTATAAAATTAATAAAAAATTATGCTGCTCATCAAAATCGTATAAAATCAATATTATTTTCATTGGATACTGAATGGTTATTAAGTATTGGTCGTGATAAATATTTTGTTTGGCATTGTGCTGAACGTGGTAAACGTATTGGAGCTTATTTTTGTCAAAATTCTTGTACAGCTTTACAGTATGTGTGCTTGTTTGTTTTTTTAATAACTTTTTCTTATTGAAAACTTTGAAAAAATCTTTTTATTTAGATTTGATCATCAATCAAAACATGCGTTTATTGGTGATTTAAATGGTCATATTGAAATGATTAAATTGGAAAATGATTCCTATAAACCGGTTACAACATTAAAAGGACATTCAGCACCTGTTCGGTGTTTAACATGGGATTGTGTTAATCAATTATTATTTTCCGGTGGTTCGGATAAAGTAATCATCTGTTGGGATATTGGTGGTAAAAAAGGTACTGCTTATGAATTACAAGGCCATAAGTAAGTGTTGATTGTTTGAATATGGAGATTTTTCCTATGGTGAATTTCTAATTGGATTTTTTTACATAGAAATTCTGTGACATCATTATATTTTTCCAGTGCCAATCGTCATTTAATTTCGACATCCGAAGATTATATGATTATTGCCTGGGATATGTCTTGCCAACGTAAAGAGGTAATTGATTTTTACATCGAAAGAAAAAGTTGAAAAATGTTTTTAAAATAATTTTCATTCATATGTTTTTTTCAAGACACCGGATTGGGCTGAAAGTGATTTTTGTCAACGTTGTCAACGGCCATTTTTCTGGAACATTAAAGCAATGTATGATCAAAAAACATTGGGTTCACGACAGGTTTGTTTTTGTTTTGTTTTTTCATAATTCCATAATCAAAATATTCAATTATCATAGCATCATTGTCGTCTTTGTGGTAAAGCAATATGCGATGTTTGTAGTTTAAATCGTTCAACATTACCTAAATATGGTTATGAATTTCCAGTTAGAGTTTGTAATGATTGTTTTGGTACAATTACAGATGCTGAGTAAGTAGTTTTTTTTTAAATTGTAATTTCTTAACAAAAATGAAAATTTTCATTGAATTTTCCCTATTTTAAACCAGTCGAATTTCATTAGCAAAATTTTATGATAGTAAACATTGTATAACACATATGAATATTGATGAAACAAATAATCTAATGATTACATCGGGTTTTGATCGTATTATTAAGGTAAGTGTTTTTCTTGTCATCAAATTTTCATTAAATTTTTTTCCTTATTTTTTGTCATTTTTTGCAACAGCTCTGGGATATAAGTAGCCTTTTCGGTTAAATTTTTGTGACTAAAAATGTTTGACTGGATTAACCCGAAACAACATTCGAATCGAACGATATTATCGAATGAATCGAACGATCATGATGATGACCCAAACCAACAATACAAACATAATTCTTTCTTAACTTGGTTTTCTTTATTTCTTTCAAACACATTCATTTTATTGAGTATATAGCTTGGTATTCCATAAATAATAACAATAATAATTTTCATTTTTTTTTTTTTAAATCTTTTTTCTTTGGATTCGATTTTGATGATTTTGAGAAAGTAATTTGCAATAAAAATTGATTGTTGAATTAATTAATTAATTTTCGTGGTTTGATTGACAACATTGATCGATGGATTGATTGATTAATCCTATCGCAAGATCGATTAATCCTTAATAATCACAATTTGACACACAAAGTCAAACACCTCATATGTCAATTTTGTGTTAATCTCAATCATTGGATCCTGATTTTTGCAGAAAAAGAAAGAGAAACGAAAAAAGAAGAAAAGATGATTCTATTCATAGACATTTTTTTTTATCGTAATTTTCTTAAATCGCTTGTCATTATCGTCGTTGTCGTTTGTTTGTTTGTTGTGTTAGAAATGGGTGTTAACCCCTTGTAGAAAATTTTCATTTTTGTTTGTTTGTAACCAATTTCTAAACACGATTTGCCCTCAAAAAAAAAAAATAAGAGAAAAACGTGCGTGTGTTTTGTTATTATTATTGAAAAAAATTTAATTTAGAAAAATTGATGATAATGGTGATTGTCATCATTATTATCATACGGGTGGCATAAATGTGAAATATTGTATCATCCACATCTGAATGAAAGAAAAGGAAATTTTGTTACAAAAAAAGAAAGAAACTAAGATGATGACGAAACACACACACACATATAATGAATATTGAAATATGGCAATTAAATCGAAAAAAAGAGACGATGAAGACGACGAAAATGGCCAAATCATCATCATTATCATAATGATTGTTCAATGTCAAAAATGGAAATTTTTTCTTCTTTTTTTTCGGTCATCATCATTGATCGATCTACCGCAGTCAATAAAAATGGGAAGGATGATGATTCGAACATTAATCGAATGTTTAGAGAAAATTTCCTAGGAAAAACAAACAAAGAAAAAACGGGAAAATTCCCTGGAATTTTCGTAATTCAATTTTTTTTTGACAAATTTTCAAATTCAAAAAAATGGTCAAGGATTTTTTTCATTTCAAACGTTTGGGTTGGCCTGCCAAATTGGCGGTGATGCATTGAGAATGGATGGCCTTTTTTCTCTTCATTTCCATCCACTACTGTATATGATTATGAAGGGCAGCAATTTTTTTTGTCAAAAAAAAAAAAAAAAAATTGGGGCAACCCCAAATGACAAATACGGGGATGTTTTTTAATTTCATCAAC